CTCAATATGCCAACCACTTTGGCTAATACATTTGAAACTTAAAAAGTTTCTTTTGAGACTTACTACAATTTTATTCATCCAGGTAGTAACAAACTAGCTTTTCCGGAGCTCTTAATTGATTTTGTACTACAAGATCTTTTGTCACACCATCCATATGGTGAATGTCTCCTTCACGGAGAAAATCATATCATAATAATTGTCATGGTCAAAATCATCATAAGCAAAATCATTTCTTGCTTTACTTTTGCCTTTAATAACTTTTTATAAGACATGTCAGATTATTTTTGGCGTACCACATGTACGCGACCAATGACATATTCATGTAATCACACAGTAATATTTATTATCTCTCTTTCTCTCAAACCTTCCTTAGAGGTGAGTTGTGGTATGTATCCAATCATGCATTGCACATCTTTATTCATTAATTTTATCACATATTGTTACATTCACCTTCAGGAATGAATCTGCATTCTCAATGCACAAGTCACATTATCTTCAAAGAATGGAGTATAATTATCGCGACGTACTTTATAAATTTTTCATACCAATTTGATGGTAAATATTTCCTTCATCTATTGAAGGATTACTTCGAGAACCCTTATTGTTCTCATTTTTTACAATTACCATAATGATGACTATTATTATAATCAATGGCACGCCCATGTTCATTGGTCAACCACTTGTCTTCATTTACTTATTATGCATTGCTACCACATTCACTTTAAGAATGGTGCAAATCAAGTGGGACAAGATTCATGCTCTTTCATGAAAAATATATTATTTTTCTTTAGTCATCACTATGTCATCCATATGGTGTGGAACTCAAACCCAATGCCTGACCCATATAAAGACATGTTAGGCCATAATGAGTTGGGACTCGAACCCAACTTTTACAATCATGGATCATCAGGACTCAAAACCCGATGTCTTACCCTCATGGTGCGTTGGGACTTGAACCCACCGTCTTATCCTTATATAATATTTATCACAAATGGTCTGATTCACATCAGGGAATGGAATATAATTTTATGTAGCCACATAGTAAAATCTATCATAAAAATAAGCAAAATAGAAATGATAAGAACTATTATCAATAAAAATATGATAAAGTACAAACTCGTGTGCTAGTATCCTACATATAAATATGTCAATAAGAGAATCACCATGTAACGTTATTACTATGTGATGTATTACTGCATACTAATGCATGATTAAATAAACTGCACACAAGAATTGAAACACATAACTAAATATACTTAACTTAAAAAAATAAATAAATACTTAAGTAATAACTATTAGCTAAGCATATTCTGTTTAATACAAAT